ACGACGCCTCTCGGCCGACCGAAACGTTTTCAATAAGTGCGCAATAACCAACACTGCACGCGACCCTGGTGCGGACCGTCTCGAGCGAAACAGTGTGTCCTGATGATAACACCTCGTACCTCATATACATTTCAAGGCACACTCACGGTCTGCAAATGTGCTTGTGCAGAGACGAGAGACGTAGACGAGAGTTTTTATTCTTCCTAATTTTCCTGGCTGTGTTCCACGGGGCGGGGACGGCACTCGGTATCTCAGCTCCTGGTGGTCCCTCCAGCCTGTAATCTCCCTGAGGGGTACGCATTCCTGGAGAAGGTCGAAGGCCTTATCACTCGTCCTCCGTGCCCTTCCATTTTTAGCCGAGGGGGTGGGGGTGGGGTGACTTTTCTCTGGCGTCGTCCTCCTGATAACGCGCCGACTGGATCAATGAGAGACGACAAGGTGTGTGATCCTTCGGCATGCAGTCGCGTCGCTCGCTCTGCTGCTGTGATGAGGAGCCCCCTAGTACTACGGAATTTAATAGTTTTTTTAAAGAAAAGCTTAGCGTGCTTTACGTGCATTGAAAAATAAATTGGGTTAACACATTCCTTGCGGCGTGACCACTATGTGATCACGTTCCCATGATAAATCTTAGGCATTAAAAATGAGCCGCAAGGAACGTGTTAAGAGAGAATCTGTCATGTTCCAAAGAATTTTGTTTTTGCTCGTGCTCTCAAAGTAGTTGAAATATAAAGATGGGGTGCGCACCTGCATAGCGAGTGCAGCTGGGGCTCCCGGAACAGGTTGTAGCAGTCCTCGCAGATGCGGTCGAGCCTCGCGAAGATGCTCTTGTCGTAGACACCCTTGCACTGGATGTCGAAGAAGGAGCGCTTGGACAGCGGGTGGCCCAGGTGGCCCACGTGACCCGCGTAGTGGCCGAGCACCATGGCCGAGCACGGGGCGCTCACCAGGCAGCCGAGGAGCGCCACGCACGCCAACGAACACGCCCACGAGCGCGCCACTAGCGGGGGCATCTGCAACACGAGACGAGAGAGAATTAGTTTTGCGCCGTCTTAAGGGAGTGTTCCGAAACCATGGGGGTGGACAATTTGGGGGGGGGGGGTACAAATATTATGGGGTTCCAAAAGGAGCAGGATCGGCTTTCGAGTCCAAGGAGCCCCCATGATATTTGTACCCCAGAGTCCAAGGAGCCCCCATGATATTTGTACCCCGGAGTCCAAGGAGACCCCATGATATTTGTACCCCGGGGTAAAAATATCACGCGGGGTCTCCTTGGACTCCAATGACAATGACTGACCTGCGATCCTTTTGGGACCCCATAATATTTGTAACCCCCTCCTAAACTGTCCACGCGTGGTTTCTGCCGAACTGGCTAGAGAAAGGTCGCCACACATACACATCCATCCTTTCCGTTTCACGTGTTTTCATCACGTTTCGAGGGAGTGATTAAAGGGCAGTGAAAGTGGCGGGGCGGCGCGTCGCATCACCGCCGCGTGCGACGCGTTGCGTCTGTACGGCCATTAAATCATCGCGCCGGCAGAGCGGCAGGGCAGTCAGAGCGCTGCAGAGGAGCGCTCGCTGCCCAGCCGTTCAAAGTTTTTGCTCGTTGTCTTGCCCCCAGCAGCAGCGCGCGAGCCATTGTGCCTTCCGTTCCAACCAGTTGAAATAAAGCGGGTATTATATACGAAAGGAGAGGGTAAAAAAAAAGTTTGTACGCAAATACCTTAACAATCTTATAAA